CTAACTTGCCTAGCCCCTCAGACCTTGCCTCCAGCCTGGCTTTTCTAATTCTAGCTCTCTCTCCTCTCCTGGCGCTGTAACTCTGCGCGAAGAGCATTCGTTGCTGGATCTCATAATCCTCTTCTGACGTGGGTTGTTGCTGGCTGACCTGCATGGCAGCGAACTGAGTAACGTCAGGCTGGGAGATACTTGGACTGACACCTGACGACAAAGCCTGAGATGAGGCCTGCGACATCGTGGGCGGTAGCCATGGCTGCCTCAGCGTTGGCTCTAGGGTCTGCTGCTAATGCTGCTGCTAGTGCCCTTTCGGCGCTGGCTGCTGCTTCCCTAGCCCTCTGCAATGCCGCCCTCTCTCTGGCTTCTCCATGCAGTCTCCTTTCCTCCCCTCGTTCTAACTCTAGGAAAGTGATTGCCCGACTGCGTGCAAGTCTTCGGGTAAGCCTCCTATCGTCTTGGTCGAGTCCTTCAACCTCACCGTCATCTCCACTCATGAGCTATGTGTGGCCCGCGATCTGCACTAGTGTCCTCGCTGGGACCTACCACAGCATGGCAACTAACCATAGTTGTGGCGCATCACGTGCGCGCAAGTTGCGCACATGCGCCGCAGCACACATGCGCACACGTGCACACGCACGTGATGGGGCGCATTTCGAAAGTAAAAAAAAGAAATAAAATCAGAAACGGTAGGTCGTCGTACCCATAAGTGTCCCTCCCTTTTAAAAAGGGTAAGTATACAGAAAGATAATATTTTGGGGCCTCGCCGTACTCCAATGAACCCAGATCGTGAAGACAGTTGTCAACAATGCAAGTCCAATGAGTGTCAACCTGCTGATGATTGTCAATAATCGTATTCGTGTCCAGATACCCAAGAGAAGAGAAGACATACACAGACGAGATAGATGAGAGGGAGGAAAAACTTAGAGTGGGGAAGATAGAAACAATGCCCAGTGCTTCTCCGGGCTCCCTCCGCGATCACCACCTCAATAATCAATAATCTGAACGAGTATCTGAAGTAACCTCAATGTGCCACATGGCACGTCTAGTCGGTCCCTCATCAACGATGGAGCAATGTCAACATGAAGACGACCAGGTAAGCACCCACGATCTCTCCACAGTCTTGATCTCCTCCTGAATGACGATAATCAGAACAGCAACACAAGTGCAATCAGACTCGCTTTCATTCACACGTCACATGCATGCAAACAGGATGCGCAGCAAACTGGCGTCAAATGCCCACTGAGAACTCAGAGATACAGTAACCAAGAACGCAGCTCAGATACAAGTTCACTTTAATTGGCTATGGCGGCACATCGCCTGTACACTCTCTGTTCGTCACTTACTCAACACTATTATTCGCACACACACAACTCTGGATCACCCTGGATACCCCACACGCATCACACTCTGCACACTCACACACACCCACACACATCTACAGCTATGGCGGCTAAGGCCGCGGCTACCCTATCGCTATGGCTAAGCTTCCTTCTCGCCCACTTCGTCCTCGGGCTCACTGCGGACCACCTCGCACAAGTCGCTGTAGCAGCGCTTCCACATGGCTCACGCAGGAATGAATGAATGGCTGGGCGCTGCCTCTTGATTTATACTTCCGTAACTCGCTGGTCTGCCCTTTTCCGTCGGCCCATGGTGTACACAGTCCCTCATGGTACTTGCTGGACTGGACTGGGACTGACTGGACCGGTACCGCTGACTGCATGGGTTTGCACCGCAGACTCACTGCAGTCGCACTGCCAACGTACTGAGGTTGGCTCCACCACTTGCCCACTTGCCTCTGTCTAAACGTGAGCCCACTCCGAAAGGCCACTTCCGGGACCTTCCGGAAGTCTGTGGACTTGGCCTTTCGGGTACTGTAGCAGCTACGACCTTGACGTTTCAGGACTGTAGCAGCTATGACCTTGACCTTTCAGAATACCTATAGCTACGACCTCTACAGGGCTGGAACTCCTACTTGACAGATCTACAGATCGAACCCCTACCACTACACAGACCTACGACAGAAACAACAACTAACAAAACTCAGGTCACGGGTTCAAACACTCATGGGTCAACTTGATACTGTACACGGGTAAGGTGAGAACTAGGGATCGAGCCCTGGGATCTGCATTCGCTACTGCTAACAGGTGAAAACCGTTTCAAAAGTCACATAGCTTCGCCTCATCAACCAGTAGTACACGTGGCAGCAGCCACGTCAGCGACAGCGCATGGCAGCGGCCACGTCAGCATGCCAAAAAGACAGGTGCAAGGCAGCCACCATGCCGGACCAGCAGCACGTCGCCGTAGACACAATGCCAGCACAGAGCCAGCGCGCAGCCAGCTTCGCAGCGTCGAGCCAGAGTCATCGTCAACGCGTGAAGACAGCATCGACGTAAGACAGAATGAATGTCAAAGCCAGGAAGTCAGCGCTTATGTAGCGTTCACGCCGGGTCTGGACCCAGGATGCTGCATCCCTCAACCGTCCAGATCTCAATGCAAACGAGTGCCCAGATTGGTCTGAAACCGAATTCCCTCCAGCCTGGATGCTGTCTGGGTACGTGTGCACAACAAGTGAGTGTGTCCAACCAAGGGCCCGGGCGTGGTACCTTTGACTCTACAGTTGACTTTGACCCTTGAATTTCCAGTGTGCAGCGTTTGGTCACACAGCCAAACGCAGCAGACTCAGGCCTGGGCAGCGTCTTGGTCACACAGCCCAGCGCAGACCAACCCAGGTCTGCGTTGCCTGGGGCTAAGTTCTGGGCCCCAGGCTGCCTCTGAACAGGGGTTACTGCAGTACTGCTCATTGGTTTGATTCTCCTTTTCAAAAAGTACCCTGCAAGCAATTAGCAGGGTTTCCATAACTTTTGGAAGGATGTGCATTGGACTGCTGGAAGACCATGAGTAGGCCAGCAATATATCCCGGATTCAGATTCAGGTCTGTGTTCCAAGAGTTATGGGTTACAAACTTACCACAAACACTCCAGTAGTTGTCTCTTTTTTTTTTTTCCCCTTTTCTTACGTGCAGTGGCCCTAAGGGCCTCGCTCCACTCATCAGCACTTGCAGACAAGAAAAATGGATGGCTTGTAAGGTTCCAGTTTCTAGGAGAAAATTCATTCTAGTTTTGCACATACGGTACCTGTCTCGTTTTTTTGTTTTTCCTTTTCTTACTTGCGTGCAGTGGCCCTAAGGGCCTGGCTCCACTCATCAGCACTTGCAGAAAAGAAAAACGTATGGCCTGTATGGATCCAGTTTCTAGGAGAGGATTCATTCTAGTTTTGCACATTTGGTGAGTAGTGGAGTGAAGCCCTCAAAATCACATGCCGAGTTAGTAAGTCAGTAACCCATAACTGCTGGCCTACTCCCTCCTTACTACGAGTCCAGTGCCGACCCTTCCAATGACCACCCCGTTCGTGCCCGGGGACCCTTGCCAATTTTTGGCAGGGACCTTTTTTTTTTTTTTTTTTTTTTTNTTTTTTTTTTTTTTTTTTTTACAAGAAACAGCCCGAGTAAATGTTAGAGGTGCTGGTAAGAGCAGACACCGCTAGCACGCTCAGGAAGGCTCCATCTATTGGTGGGGAGCAGCACCTGCTGGATATCGGGTCCAGCGTCCCTGTAGAAATCCAAAGTATCATTATACGTGCCACGTGTCACAGCCTTCGTCCTAACCAGTTGCAATGTCAACACAAAAGCACGCAATATTCAACACAATGGGCAGCATCGATTGCCCTCCTTCCGAGGTGATCAACTGCCCATCGCAACTCAAAAACTTCTTCCTATTCTGAAACCCCCATCAATCTTGTGAAGAAGAACCGTGCAGCGGTATGAGGGGGAGGAGTAATCAGAGTAAGAAGATTGAAATTGAGTTATAACGATCCCAGTTCCTAGAGCCAGAGTAAACCAGATGAACAACCCCAACTGCTGCGCCCAACCGCCTGTGGCGCCACGTGGCTTATTTGTAACACAACACAAAACATCGGTGTCCACATGGCAACACATCCCGCATGCTGGAATCGCAAGTCATTCGTTGCAGAGTTCAACTCACCAGTCACTCGCAGCAGAATCCCGCAAAAAAACCGCGCTGCCAGCCTGCCCCTAAAAATCATATTCCGAATCCGTCATCGTGCAGTACTAAAAAACTTCATAAGATCATAACCGGAAATGGCAGTTAGAACATAAAACCAAAACAATTATTATGGTTACTCCCATGGTCATCTTCATAGCATCTCCATGACCTCTCTTGAAATTATGTAGGAATCGCCATATCCCCCCCCGATCGTCATATTCAGCAGCTAAACCGCAATTGCACCGAAACCGCACCGAATCGCAAAAGGGAGGGACATCGAAGCCAGAAGACTGAATTCATATTCACTAACCTACAACATCACCTACTGCAATCCTCGAATCCACACAGGGTAGAGGGTATGAAAACAAATAGGGAGCTATCCTCCCTATCCCACTCCTTCACCCCCCCCTCCCACTTCCCACATCCCAGCTTTGCCTTCCTGTGCGCGAAGCACAACGACTCCCCATCCCTCTCGCTCCTAACCCCAATCATCCCCCACAGTAGACCAGAAGGAAGACGGAATGAAAAACAGGCAAATCCCAGTCACCCCTCCACGAATGTCGGCAACAATTTGGTTGCTGGTTTCATCGGTGCTAACAGTATTACAATTATTGTTGTTTATGTTTGGACGAATGACGCCTTTCCTTGGTGCGTCCCCAACGGTGCCGCTGCTGGCCCAAAAGCCGTCCGCTGAAACACGCACACCGCACTTGCCACCAAACCCTTGCCCCTCCTCAAGGGTTTTGCAGCGGCGCGTTTTGAGCACGTTCGATCGTGGCAAATCCGCGGACGCCATGTACGAGGGCGGCCCCTGTTTCAACCCCCGTGCATTAGAACCCTGCACGAACAACTCCCGTTGGCAAACACAACCAGGACAATTTGACGGCGCCATCTCTATAGATAGCGAGATCATTGGTGTAGATGTTGCAATTGACAGCGCAGGCGATGCGGCACCAGTCTGTGTAGCCACTATTGGTACCGTTGTTGCTGATGACGGTAATCTTGTTGATGATGCTATTGGTGATGCGGTCATTGCATTGACCACTGCTAATGTGACCGTGGTCGAAGTCAGTGCCGCCGTTCTGGCCGTTGATGAAATTGGTGTTGTTAATGGTGTTATCGATGTTGTTGGTGCTGTCGATGCTGTGCGTATGTCAGTATCCGGCGGAGCACATGCGCGACTAGTGGCTAGACGGACAGCAAAAATATCCTTGATCTGCTGCAGGATGTCGACGCAATCGTAGAAAACAGCCATCGCCCTCGCTCTGTCATCCGCGTCCTGTTGTCGGAAAGAGATGAGATCGTAGAGTTCATCATCCCACCCGTCGTAGGTCTCCAATCCCTCCAGCAGAACGTTGCATGGCAGATCTCCATTCGCTTGGCTTAGCACCGTGTACATCTCCTCCAACTGCTGTTTGTAGGTCATCACAAGTCTGCACGGACACTTCCTCCTCAACCTGCGGATCAAGAGGGGTTCTCCGCAGCCCTCTGTGAAGCGAAGTCTCCATGCCCTCCCCTGTCATCGCTGATAGCTTCGAAGCTGCCGCTACTACACTTCCATATATCAATAATTCCACGGCTGGCGCTACCCCTGTCAACGCGTCGCGGGACACCTGCGTCACCAACAGCGGGCACCACGAGGCAAAACACCACGCGCGTTTGCTGGGCGCGCGTACAGGCCCAACGCCCGAGGAAACCCCCCCCCCCGAGCACTAGTCGAGCTGGCAGCCCGAGCCTTGCTCGACTGGTGGCAATGGGGCGCTAGCGCTAGCGCAGCTCTCGCTCAGCATCCATTACAAGGAATATGTTTCCATTATGGCAGGGACCTTTTGAAGTGCAAGGAATATGAGAGTGAGCGATATACATAAAACCAAGTTGCGAAATCACACAGTTGAGCAAGTAGTAGTATCCCAAGTAGAGAGTATGAATGCACTGAGAAAACCATCCATAAAGAGCAATACAATGAAGTATTGAGCCAACGTCCAAGCCCGTAGGCCACACCAACACAGTATCCAGAGTCGCTCTCTCCGTCCAGCGCCCAGCCTACTCTACCACACTATCCTACTCTACAGCTGGTTCACACAACAGGATCACTTCGGCTCACGAAGACCAATGTACATGACTGTCAGCAC